TTTGTGTTCTGTAATACGTTTTTTGCTATTGGCAGAGCTGATCTTTGCTTTTCGGATTTTAGTTTAGCATCAACGTTGTCTGATTGATGTTGGGATGCTTATTAGTTGTTTAAATGAGTTGACAGTGGACTGTTTGATTTCCAGTATTTAGTTTGTGATGAACATTGAACAATTTTGTGCGTGATTTTTAGTAAAGATCCTCAGTGTCTTCAGTAAAGATCCTTCATTTTTCATTTACAGTATTTCGTGAAATTGATGTTTATGAGATTATAAACTGGTTTTTTATGAGGCATACAATTGATGTGTTGACATGGACAGTGCTCTAATAATGTCCACTTGTAACTTTGAATTATCGGGCTAAATTTCACATTGGTCATTAAACTTTATTTTGTTCAAAATTGGTCGCTTAACTTTGTCATTAGTTACAATTGATACCCTGAAGTTAGATGTTTGTCAGAATGCAATTGGATAATTTCAAAATTCATGAGACAGGAGTGAATCAATTGTAACAATGTTTTAAGTTTAGTGGCCAGCTTCGAACATGACGAACTCTTGTGGATAACATGAAAATTTGCTAAAATTTCAATGTAATTTTAAGTTTTTAATCATTAATTATCATTAGTGTGCAAGGAGAATTGGTAGAAACGTATGGAAGTCATACAATGCTCACAAGTTGTGCATTTTGTAACGTTATTAAGAGATGGAAACTGCAATATACACATTGTGATAAGGAAATTTGTTTTATGTATCTATCATGGCTATGTGGAAGCTTAAATAAGACAGCAAATGAAATTTCTAAAAGCAGTAGAGTAATTCTTCTTAGCTTATCTTGTCATTTTATTGTTCTTATTTTTATTTACTTAATCATAAAAATTTAACTCTGTGCCTCAATAAAAAGTATACTTGAAGCTTTGTGTTTTTATTACTTTTATGAAATATGAATTGTTAATCATTTGTCTGGTCATTCAAACTTATTCTTATTAGGTTATTGTTCATTCTGATTTGGGTTATACAATGGAGTTTTTGACTTTTTATACATGAAGTTGACTGTAGATTTTCTAATCCCTAATTTCTTTTTGTCCACGCTCCGTTGTGAATGGTGCTATTAAAATTTATGACCATTAATTTATATGAAGCATTAAAACACGAAGAATGGGCGTTGCCATTTTATATAAATGAAACGGGACATATTTTGATAGCAATAAGTTTGTCAATCGTTCCATGTCAATGCAAGAACACTATGCTAATTGTGCATAGTTTTCTTTTGCCTTTTCCCTTCTTTGGTGGGATGGAGGGACGAGCCATCTTTATTGTTTATTTGTTGAAACAATCATTCAGAATGCTTAGCTACAAAAATTTGTCTTTATTGTTGTTGTGAACAGATACAGAGCTGTCACAAGTGCATATTATAGGGGAGCTCTTGGGGCTATGTTGGTTTATGACATTACAAAACGTCAGACCTTCGACCACATACCCCGTTGGCTTGAAGAGTTACGTGCACACGCAGACAAGAACATCGTAATCATTCTGATTGGGAACAAAAGCGATCTTGAAGACCAGCGCGCAGTACCAACTGAGGATGCCAAGGAATTTGCCCAGACGGAAGAACTGTTTTTCTTAGAGACCTCAGCATTGGAAGCAACAAATGTAGAGAATGCATTCTTGACTGTTTTGACCGAGATCTTCAACATCGTGAATAAGAAAAATCTTGTAGCAGGCGATGAACAAGCAAATGGCAATCCTGCGTCTTTATCTGGCAAGAAGATTATAATTCCTGGTCCTGGACAAGTAATCCCAGAAAAGAACAGGATGTGTTGTAGATCGTGATTTCTTTACCTAGGATTGAAAATCTCAGTGTCGTGATTCTTTTAATTATCTGGTGTATCTTGGTTGTAGAGAAGAAATGGTTGTGGTTACGATGGTGTAGAAAACAACATAGCAGAGTGGTCAATTTGTTTCGTGATTGTGTCTTTTCTTTGTTTTTCTTTTTTTATTTTGATAGTACCTTCTTGGACGTCTCCCCTGTAATATGAATATTTTTTGAATGTTCTTAGTGGTGAATAGTTCTACTTTGTTGTGTGGTTATTCCAAATCATTACTCGTGTGAATGATCAACTGACCTGAGTTGTATAGACTTTGGTTGCGTTGATTCCAGTGTGATGACACATATTTACTCAAGAAAATCTGAATATCAAATACACCAAAATTGTAGTTCTGTTTCCTGACTTTTGGGCCACAATTTCTTAAATAAATAACATAGTACAAGATGAAAACCAAAATTGTCGGTTCAAATGAGAGTGGCTGGTGTCAATGCTTTAATGTCTTCTTTAATTTCAGAACCCTTCTTGTATTCTAATTCGTCGGCCTCGAGATGGGAAGAACTATTCTTCTGCACCGGGGCTGTTTCTATTGTAATAAGCAGAGACAACATTTCTAACAGTTCCTGGCAGTCAATTGCAGCCACCATCACAGCTACATTAGTTCTACCCCTCCAAAACCCGATGGCAACCGTTGATGCATCCACTTGCTGATCATCTGATAAGTTCTTATCATCTGCAGAAAATGAACAAATTCAGGATCCGAAATGTGTTTACAGAATTTACGACATGATAGCACAAGGAATAATCATAAATGATCACTGTAAACTTCTACACCACTATACAGACCTCTACGCAGAACCACCACACAACAACCTAGCATCAGCTTTGAAACCTTTTCTCCAAACTCGGGATTAACGAAATCTGAAAATTTGATAATTTTGTATTGTAATAGATGCTTGAAATCTACTGCAGATGCATATAAGATTTGCATAGTTATATGTGGAAGAATCAATGGCAATCCTGAAGATATTCGAAATAGATGGGGCGCAGTTGTCCCTTCTTTCGACGTCTGTCGTTCCTGAAATGAGAAGAAAATACATTTAATACAACCATCAAGATAACAGAAGAGAAACCTTGTGGGGTGGGGGTGGGAATGGTTCTCTTCATAAAAAAAAAAAAAAAAATCAGTTCATTAACTGAGATAAACGTGAATAGCAGGAGAAAAGAAGAGAGTGCAATCCGCCCCAAGTACTAATGTTCCTTTGGTTAAGAGCATATTAGGCTAAGCTTTAAAAAAGGGAGATTCCAAACGCGTTATTGTTCCTTCGCTCCTACCATTCTAAGTAAAAAAAAAGTCACTTATTTTGAAAGCGGTAAAAGATTCAACTATGTATGTAACTTACAAACATCTTCAGTCCAACGGAAGCTATCTTAAGAGAGTAATGCTATGTGTACAGATTTTTTTCACAGAATACATACAGAATTTTGAAATGGATGAATTGGATTTAAACATTGGAGGAGGGAAAACACAAACCGACACACAGGATTTGGCAATTCAAAAATCTGGCATGTTTTCCTGTACTTAAGGAATTTTCCATCTTAAGATGTTGGCCAGCTAGTAGGTTCAATTCGAGAACTTCCTTCACAGACTTTGAGATGTAGTATGTTCGCGTGAAACTCGCAAGCGTACGAGATCGTTGTACAAGTAATAAGATTTGTGAGTTAAGAGTATCGTTCCCACGAGAAATAAGGTCTAATTTGTAGTTCAATAGCTACTATTAAGTTCGAAGTGTGGTAATATAAAAAAGAGATG